AATTCACACTTTGATAGTTTAGCATATAACTTCTCTCTTTTCAAAAGTTCAAGGATTAATCGAAGATGCTTTGCATGCTCTTCTTTGGTTTTAGAGTATATGAGAATATCATCGATAAATACAATGACAAATTTATCGAGGTATTCCCTGCATACTCGATTCATTAAGTCCATGAAAGCTCACAAACATTTCATAGATGTCTTTAATTGCAAGTTCATGATCGGTCCCAATTTAAATGCAATCCTAAAATAAAATAAAAGCCATTTACCAGACATCAGAACTTATAATTTTTAGGTTATTAAAAGAAAAAAAAATCAATCACTTAGAACAAGTCTAGTTGGATAGATTTAAGTGTTATTGAGAAATCATAGGAGTCAAGGCACGTGCATTGGCATTAGTAGCGGAGTCATGACTAGGGGATCTCTTAACCCACGTTGTGTTCTCGAAATTAGATAGAAATAAAAGAAAGTGGAGGAAAAGGAAACAAATTATTTATGTTCTAAAAAATGAAAGTAAAGAAAATAATTTTTTGTGTTCTTGAGCTGGAGACAAAAGAAAAATGACATTTTTACCAATTACCTTATAAAAATATATCATTTAGAATGAAAGATTGAGTAATGTTATGATTTTAATAATTTTTCAAAAAGTTTAATGTCTTTCATTTCCTTTACTTTCCTCCCACATTTGGGAGAAAACTTTTGGTTATTTATTTTTAGGAATGGCAACGGGCCGGGTATTGGTATCCCCGTCTCCGAAACTGATAGCTAAAACCGTCCCCATAACCGCCCTGATCCCCGTTGGGGATCTTATTGGGTCCCCGCGATTTCGCCAATCCCCGTTGGGGAATCCGTTAAGGGTAAAAATCCTCCTTTTCAACGTTGGTTATAACCGAAACCGAAACAGAAACACGAAACCGTTCTGAAAGAAAATACAATATTCTAATTTTTACAATTAAAAGTAAATTACAGTTTTTTTAAAGATGTAAGTTTAAATGTCTCAAACATAATCGAACCAATTACAAACAGTGTATTAGATTACAATATAAAACTAAACAGAAATTCAAACATCATACAAATAAAATCATGATTTTAGACAAAGAAACTAGACGTTTTCGTGAGCTTTATTTGAGTTGTTGAGGTAAAGTGGATAAAAGTCTTTTAAATTTTAATGTTACTGTTTTCTTTTAATGATATTATATATATATATATATGTATATAATTTAAAATTAATATATATATATATATATATATATATATATCGGGTCGGGCCGGTGATCACCGTCCCCGTTAAAATCCCCGAATTTGTCCCCGATCCCTGCCCCATTCCCGATAAGATGTCTCTAAACCCGACCCGAAAGTTTCAATTTTTGGTTTTCACCATCGGTTTTTTTTTTTTTTTGTCATCCCTATTTTCTTTTCGTTCTTTTTATCTTCTTAAAGAGTTTCAATAATATGAGTTTTTTTACTCCCCCTTCCTCCCTCCATTTCCCGTCCAAGATCTAAATACAAGGGTCATTTTTGCTAATTTCGTTTTATGGAAGGAAAGGGTTCAAAGTGAAACTTTTTGCAAGCTAAAACTTCTAATACCCCTGTAAATGGTTTATAGGCGAAGCCGACCAAAATCGCCGGAAACCCAAGAAGAAAAAGGGGGTGGAACGGATTGCAGCGATGGGAGAAGCTTCATCAGTCGATGACGATTTGCTACTCAAGAACTTCTACGCTGAAGTGAGCGAGGTTGAGCGCGATAATGAAGTCGCTAGGTATCCTTTTTTTACCTTTTTCTGTATTATTTCATGTCTTATATGTTTTTTTATTGTGTTATTTCTCTAAAATTTTCGTACTGTTTACATTAAATTGTTTTCCTTTTGTTTAATTTTCTAGGGATTTCCGTGAAATCGTATTCAAAATTGGGTGTAAATGTTGAAAAAGGTGGATGTAATAGTTATATAGTAGGAGTTATAGATTATCATTGGAAACTGCATACATACAAACTCGGTGATCATTTTGGTCGGATTGTCTATATATGTTTGCTTAAAAACATCTAGGATAAGTTTAATGCTTGTACATTATGCTATCTTCAGCACTGCAAAGTCATCTAGAACCCTAGATTAAACACTATAAAAATTTTCTTGACTTCAACCTGGATATGGCACATGGATAGGAAACTTTGTCTTTGCTTTAACTTTGGTGTTCGGATTTGTTTTCAACTGATCTATGCTCTGGCAATCTTGATTATGTTGAAAGTGTCTATGGAGCTCCAATTAACACTGTTCCATCTGAGATGGGGTGATCACATGTTAAGAATTGAAACCTGTGTTAAGTATTTGTGTGTTTGCTACCTCAGCTGAGATTAGAACTATAAGAATGACTGATTTTTCCTAAGGGGAAGAAAGAAAACAACTAATGATGATGTTCATTGACTGCCAAGTTTCACAACCATAAAAGCAATGTTCTTCGAAGGCTGTCTGGAACATTAATCTCAGTCATCTTACTATGTCAATTTCTGTAATTTGTGGAGAGGAACCAGATAACCATTACATCAACGAATACAGAAAAAGCTACCTATAGCTTTCAAGATCTCTCTGAGTTTCCCAAGCTTGAAATTTCAAAATTGGAACCCCAACCATTTATACTTTTCGAACAAAGATATACTTCCAAACAATTAGGAAATATGTTGTTTGGTTGATGTAAACAATGCTCATTCTTGTGCTAAAGGAGGCAACTCTGAAGTAATTTATCAGCCTTCTAAAAAGCATCAAGCGAAGCTAGATGGTTTTCTCACCTTCTAGTGTAGAATTGTCTAAGCAGAATGTAAGCGGACGCATTAGCAGTTCATTTGGATATGTAAAATATAATAATTTCTTGGTTGCGTAAACAAATGAGAATTAACATTTTGTTACTGCATATGGCTAGTTTAATTTAGATGGGAATATTAGTATTGATGGAAACTTCAAGTAGTTATGTGTTATTATATAGGCATGCATTTGTTTTTATTTATTTGATAGACAAGTATCATATTTGGATGCCTAGGGTACTTATTTGTGTTGTTTATTGGACTAGGGTACTTATGAGCTCTGTCAATTAGCTTTATTAGTTGGGATAACTACGACACTCTTTTTTTTAATTGTTATCTAGTCCTATTAAGTTTCAAATTCTAGAATTTACTACAATATTATGTATCAATGTAATTTTGTATTACACTGTAGGGTTTTGTTTAAAAGTAACCTTATAAAAAACGCATTGGAAATTAAAATTGATTTAATTAGATTACCTTTTTTAAGAAAACTTTTCAAAAAAGAAACCCTTTAACGGATCCAATGATTGTGTTACTGAATAAAACAAAGCACAGGGTGTTTAAGAATAATACCTTTAGGTTTGTAAGGAGGAAACTTGCAGCACAAGAAACCAAGTTAGGTTTCCTCTAGTGTAGTCCACACACGAACACACATTGACTTCAACAGAGTGCTAGTTTCAAACCCTTTAATTTCTAATATAGTATGTGATTAACAAGAAAAAATAAGGTTTGTTTTTTGTTTTATCAGGTAACTTAAAAGTATCCTAATTGATTCATCACTAGACTTAGGCCCTGTTACCTTATTTATAGGCTGGGGATTAGATAGACCATAACTCCCAAATATGCGTCGATCATATCTTTAATCTTTAAGCCTATCTATTTAAGGCCCATCAAGCCTAATAAAGGTTTTATTTAATTTCTATCACAATCCTACTTCAATGTTTGATTTGCAGAGGGAACCGTGTCTTTTCAGGGGTTATTACTTTGTGTACTGAACAATCTGAGACTTTTTATGATGATCTAATACATTGTTTTTGAAACAACAATATTCACAGGATTCTTTCATGCTTTAAGCTAAACGCATTTGAGTATCTTAATCTGCCATTCGATTCATCCCCGGAAGATGTGAAGAAGCAATATCGTAAGGTGATATAGTTGTCCTTATAGTGTATGTCGATTAAGACTTTCATTTTGGTATTTGATATTTGATATTTGATATTTGATAAAGGGCCTTGTGTGACAACTCTATATTTTGATATGCAGTTATCATTGCTGGTCCATCCTGACAAATGCAAGCATCCCCAGGCAAAGGAAGCTTTTTCTGGTATGCATAAGTGTCATATATCATGATGAAATAAATCTTTGATGGCTTTTGCAGTTTCTAACTAGAATTTTTTGCACGAGACATTGTATGGGTTAGTGACATTGTATATATCTGACTATCTCATCTAATGACGCAGTCAAGGGTGTCCAACGCCAATCAACCTTACTGAATTTTCATTTATCGTCATTATACGATGTTTATAACCAATCCTTATTTTGCTTACTAGTTACAGCCTTGTTTTTCAACTTAGAAGTTTTTGGATTGACCTCTACTCATGTGAATGCATATTCCCACTTTTTTAGTAAAAGTTTACTGAGTTAACTTAAATAATAAAGAAGGGTCTACCATGGTCATAATGTAGACAAACTCACGACCTATTGTATCAAGAATCAAGTAGAAGCCCACTATAGTACAAGTTCTTGATGTTTACTTTTCTTTCCATGCAAAATTTGAATGCTTAGCTACTGTATGCTTGCTCAAAGTTTTGTGGCCAAAGTTTTTGAGGTTTAATGTTATACATTTGTAGGATGAAATCTCATAATTTTATTTTATAATTGCTCTTTATGTGGAAGCTATTTATTTTGGAGGACATATAGATTTATCTCATTTTGATATAACACTATTAATATTCTTTATCATTAGGTTATTTATTATTAAGATAATAAGGATACCATTCTACATTAATCCTGAGTTTGGTCTCATCTACAGTTCAAGAGCAATTAAGCATCTAGAAACCATAAAAAAAAAAGGATCTGTATTACTTTTAGAGTTCAAGAGCAATTAAGCATGAGGGCTGAAATCAAGAATGTTATTGTCTCGAGTCCAAGAATCCCTCCCTGCCCCTTTGAGTAAAAAAATTAACCTCATGTGGAGTAGCTTAGTGATCTTCTTAGATAGTCATTCTAAATGATTCTACTCTTTGCTGTGAGTGAGTACCTATATTATATATTGTTGACACATCTTGTACTGCAATAACTAAACTTGTCTCTTATGCAGCACTAGCAAAAGCCCAACAACTACTACTTGATCCGCAGGAAAGAGAGTATCTAGTAAACCAAATCAATGCAGCAAGAGGTTTGTGCATAATCTTCATCCTGTTTCTATTGTAGTAGGTTATTTATTCTTTCTGATCATGTGTCTAAACTTAAATTCTCCATGTTATATAAGATCTTCTATCTCATGACTTACCATGTTGGTTGTGTATGATAATGATTGTTCCATATGCGCTATAAATATATAACAATTAACCACAAGGGTGGTGCTTGAGTGGTTTGAGCTTGGGCTTCAAAGGTCAAAGTACCTCGAGGTCTTAGGTTCAAATCCAAGGAGGATTAAAAATCTCCTTGTGGCCACGTAGGTTCAAATGCGGTGACTCCGGGCTACCCGCAAAGCAGGTGGTCGCTCTGGGATTAGTCGGCTCATATAGCGGGTTGGATATCCAGGTTAATAAAAAAAAAATATAACAATTAATGTTGCCAAAAAACAATCAGTATCTCTAAAAGAAGCATTGAACTACATGGAGAATCATCTATTTTTTTCTCAACTAGGTCATACTCTTGGACTCCATATTGACGTTTGTTGAGGTTTCTAACAGTCTATTAATTGAATTATTCGTTTGTCTTATTGTTTTATATAAGGTCTAACTTGCTTCTTGTAAACAAGTTTTGAGGTCTGCTACGGTTTCTTTGTGACAATCAGGACCAAAAAGCTTTATTCGTTTCAACGTTTGAATAGAAAATTTGGTATGTAGGGGTGAGGAGTCTTAGGGTTACTGTAAGTTTGCCAATAGTTAGTTGAAGGACCAATTTGAAAAAAGATGCGTCAACTGCAAAACTATCTAGAGGGATACTGCAGGCTAACATACGATGTCAATGACATCATAAACAACATATAAATTGACTATGCGGACATAGGTTAATGCATGACTGTGAACCAAATCCTGTGAAGAGTCACAAGAACATCCGCACATTGCAAAAAAAAGCAACCTTGAGGATGGTGTTGGATTTGCAAAATAGCTATTTAGTTTTTGCATATAATTTCTAAAACCATTTTGGTTAGTAAAGCAGCCCATCTTTCAAGAAAATGCGAACATATGGTAAATTATAGAACAATGGTCAGAACTTTGAAAGACTAAGAGAAGTCTCAATTCCTATTGAAATTTTAACAGGCCTGGAAATTTCATAACTTCAAACAAAAACCACAACTCTTACAAATCAAAGATGTGATTTTAACAGGTCCGATAAGTTGCAGATTGTCAACAAGGAGAGCCATGTGAGCAGCGGGACCTGATGTTCCTTGATGTAAAAGAACATTAGGAAACAGAAATTTGAAGCTAGGGCTAAGATGGACTTTGGTAGTCGCAAGGTTTTAAAAAGCGAAATCGGGGCTCGACGCGTTTCCTTCCACACCTTGAGGCGTAAGCCTCGAGGTATAAAACAAATAAAATTCATAAATATTAATAGCAAGCAGAACATAATTCCATACCAAACTTTAAGCGTCACAGATTCATAAAATTACTAGTTATAAGTCTAAAAACATATCAATCTACAACTTATAGTTCCCCGCAGCATGATCAAGTTGGCATTTGAGATGAATATCTTCTTGAGAGAGGAAAAAGTAAGAAATAGAGAAGAAAAAAATGGGGTTTGGAGAGGTATTCTCGATGCAGAAGAATATCTGAGAAGGAAGTGGGAGAAGAAGATGAAAGTAGGATTAGGAAATGGAAAGGTAACATTTGTTTTTGATTGATAAGATAAATGAAAGGCTTCTTTGTGCATTTAAATTATAAAAGTACAATCGAGTGATTGACTTTACTTAAAAGAAAACTTTAAGTAATTTTTTTGATTCTCACCTCATCAGGTACCTATTTTCAACGAATCAAGGTAGCAACAAATTGGTGTGCGCCTCAGAAATGCCTCACGTCTGAACGCTTCAGCCTTGTCTAGAGAAAATGAGGCGCTGTCTCATAAGCGGTTTTGGACCGCCTCGTCTCGAGGCGAGTCTCGAGGCATACGCCTTAAACGATTTTGATAACCATGGGTAGCCGATAGCCGGTGTTAGCAGAGGTGATAGTGGATTAGTGGCTCTCCAGGGTTGTAACTAGAGCCCTGAAATGATGCAATAGTTGAGATCCATAAGCCTCATTGTGTTTAATATGAAACTAATTCTATTTAAAGGAAATCGAACTCAAAATAGGAAAGTAAGTCTTCAACTAATACCAATTTGCTCCCAATCAGGTCTTCCTTCTTCCCAATAACCCTTAGATCATGATCCTCATGTTTTCATAGGAATTATAAAGAATTTCTACAGCCAAAACAACAATCACAAGAGATTTCTCATCATCAACTCTCACCTCGCCTTGTTCAAGATCTGCCACAACTTCAACCGTCACCTTCATTCTCTCTCTTTCATGTTGTTCAATTGATCCCCTTTATTGTCGATTAGAACATGATCAGAGATGAGTTTCGATGGTGTGTACCTAGGCCACTCAAGGCAATCGTTCACTATTTTTATGCACTGAACTAAGCCCTGGCCCATCAGTACCTTATAGAGTAATCTTGAAAAGTCCTATTACGCAACCCAACAATAGATTTCATCTTCTCTATCCTTGCCACATGAATCTAGTCATTTCCAATTTACTTTTGAATATTTTACCAGAACTTTCATGCGGCGGTGATGCCAAGAATACCAATTTGCTCCCAATCAGGTCTTCCTTCTTCCCAATAACCCTTAGATCATGATCCTCATGTTTTCATAGGAATTATAAAGAATTTTTACAGCCAAAACAACAATCACAAGAGATTTCTCATCATCAACTCTCACCTCGCCTTGTCAATTGAGCAATAGGCTCATCTCAACATCTGCCACAACTTCAGGCTTCACCTTCATTTTCTCTCTCTTTCATGTTGTTCAATTGATCCCCTTTATTGTCGATTAGAACATGATCAGAGATGAGTTTCGATGGTGTGTACCTAGGTCACTCAAGGCAATCGTTCACTATTTTTATGCATTGATCTAAGCCTTGGCCCATCAATACCTTATAGAATAATCTTGAAATGTCCTATTATGCTAGTAGTATAATTTAGTGGGTCTATTGGTAGGAGTGGTATGCAGAAAATTAGTGGGCTTTATATAGGAGAGTTCTATCCTCTTGAATGCTAGCTTTTTCTTAGTATTCCTGTTAATTGTTCAATCGATTCAGTTCACAACAAATTGGTATTAGAGAGTTGTTTTGAATCCATGGTCAGGGAATTACAATGGTCCTCGTATTGTCTTTGAAGCCATGTCCAGTGATACGAATCTACAAAAGGTTGAATCCATGAAGATGGAGGAAATTGGAATCAAGTCCATTGTTTCAGATTTTCAGCGATGGTTTCGAGATCAGATGAAGATTTTCAATCAAAAACTGAAGGAGGTGACATAGGCTATGCATGAAGAGGTAAGTATCATTTGATCCCAATCAGGTTACTTCATCGATAACACGCTGAAATCAGACAATTCTTGTTCATTGGAGATCATATCTGTTGGAGGACTCAACTGGACTGATGAGGAAGCCACCTAAAGGAAAATCCTCGATCATAACCGTTATAATTCCATGATCTTGAATCGCTTTTTGTGAAAGCCATTCAACTTTTGTTAATGAACTACAATTAGAAGCAATTGGGCTAATTTCATTTCCACAACCACTTCTATCAAAATCCAAAATCGCAAAATCACCAGGAGAGAGACAACAGGAGAAGGAAGTCGTCTACTGTGTTGTGTTTTCCTCCATTTGTAGCTAACAGGCCAATGTAGGAAGATCGATTGGGAAGTGGTCGAACGAAGAAAAAGAGGCAATTGAAGGTTCAAATTTGTAGATCTATTTTTGGCCCATGCCCAAATGAATTATTTTAACCGGGCCAAAGCCCATGTTAAACATAACACAGACAATCGGTTGTTTGATAGAGTTATCAGCGTGTGGGAAAACTTGGTTGGGGATGTTCATCGGAAACCGTCGCCCCGCTACCATCCCCACTAATGACCTACCCTTGCCACCATTGCCACGGTAACTGTCACCCGCTGCCATCGGTAGGGTTATCACCTTCGCTGTCACCGATGTCTACACTACCAAGGGTCAAACATTCGACTCTTCAGAATGATTGTGGCCATGACAACCGTCATTTGGTAAAAGACCTCACATGGGAAACAATTGAGAAGACAACTCAAATTAGGAAGAGGAAAATAAGACGGTGATAGAGGGTTCTTTGAATTGGGAGGTGGCAGTGATTAGTGAGAAAAATCTGGAAAAGAAGACAATTCAGGAAGTGGGGATTTAATTAAAAACCATAGTGGATATTTTGGGAATTGGCGGAAAAATATTTAAGATATGTGGATCTTTTAGAGGCCCATGGGTGGGAGTGGATTTAGGGATGCTTGTTTGGAATGAAGGTCTGCATCATATTGCGCCTCTTGACCCATTTTAGAAAAAAACAAGCTTTAATTGAATTGGTTTGGGGTTCCTAGTTGCAAAATGATGGGGTGTTTTCTACAAAAAAGGACGGGGCGTTATGGTCAATTACAAAAGGAGAATGTCTGACACTTGGTTCATAAGTCGGGATATTTTCGAGTAAAGGGGTGGTTGTGTGTGTTGATTTTGATAGGCCTTCAAATGGAAGCTGGAGTCGAGTTTTTTGCTGTGAAGACCATTCGAGATGAAGAGGAATTCATCATAGTGAAGAACCGAGAAGGAATAGGTGTGAAACATGAGTTCAAAATCAAGAAAACAAAGTACTTCCTTGATTTGAAAGAAGAGGGGGAAGACAATGTTTGGTTTTGGAGTTCAGCATACCACTCAAAACTAGAAACAAAAGGTTTATATTTGTCTCAGATTGCAAAATTTTTATTGGGTAGAGAACATTAATATGTAAAGGAAGGTGGATGAGTCTATAAATTGGCTGAATTACAAGAGTAACAGACTCGGTGGGAACTCTTGGACTTCGACTCTAACTTCAAAACAAAAGGGTGATAAGGAGCGTAATTGCAAGCATTTGGCTTTAACATCAGCTGCTTGTGGAGTTGTAACTAAGCAACCACAATTTCTCTATTCCTTCTATCCACCTTGAGGACAAGGTGGTTCTTTGGGGGAAGGTAATGTTATGCACTGATATAAGCCCAGGTCCATCAGTACCTTACAGAACAATCTAGAATAGTCCTAGTATGCTAGTTATGAAAATTAATGGGTTTGTTGGTAGGAGAGGTATTAGGTATGCAAAAAATTAGTGGGTTTAATATGGGAGAGTTCTAGCCTCTCGAATAGTAGTTTGTTCTTAGTTTTCTTGTTAATTGAAGCATCTTATAGTGTCCTTATCATTTGGTTCCTATTTCAATTATTCAATTGATTCGTTTCATAACAACTATCCAAAGCAAAATCTTCATTCCGTCTTCGATGATCCACACAATAGCCTCTTCCTTTTTTCACGCTATATCGTGTTGGGCCAGGCCTAACTTAAAAGGACCATCCCATGGGCTGGTAGTGGATTGGGTCGGCCTTCATCTTAACCAACCTCAGGTGGAGTCGAACTCATATGCGAAGAAAAACTCATCGGCGAGGACGTATGAAACGGTTATTGGTAAAGGTCTAGCGGATCTAGATAGAGATCTGGATTTTAATGCAAATTGAATTTGTACGGATCTGCGCTGATTCCTTCCTCACTTCTGTCTAGAATTTTAAGTTTTAGGGTTCTTGGTTCATCTCCCAAGAGATTTGTCGTTACCTCATATGCTTTTGATTAATGATGCATCATAAACATCGATTTATTGATTTCAACTATCAGGCCGTGATTATTGATCTCCTCCAATTCGGGTAAGTCTCTTATTTCCTTCTTTAAATCTCTCCCCCCCGCTGTCTTCTTCTTCGTCTTCTCATAAACTTCACTCTTCTCTTTCTTCACGATCCACAACTTGTCTTGTAAGGAACTTATTTTGTTGATTGCATTGAACCGAGGGTTTCCAACATCTTTCTGGCTGTTGAAAGCATACTCCTCAAGATCTCTTGCTCTAATACCAATTGATGTACATTCGTCATGTTTAGGGCTGTAACGACTGCACGTTTAACAAATCGTTCATTAACAGTTCGGTGAGAAGTTCGCTTATTTAATAAATGAATGAACGTGAACACATTTTTTTGTTCGTTTAGTTAATGAACGGACATAAACATTGGTCTTGCTTGTTCATTTACGTTCGTGAACATTCGTTCATTTATGTTCATTCATTTACGTTCGTTTACATTTGTTTATGTTCATTTACATTTGTTTGTATGTGTAAATATTTTTATATATGATAACATTAATATGTAAAACCATCAATTAATTTAAATTTTTAGAATTCTTATTTTTATGCCCTAAATTACCCGATTTTTCATTTTAGTATGTTACTTTTAGGAACGAAATGACGAGTAATGGTGGTTGCTTTTTGTTCATTTATGTTCGTTCGGTTATGTCAGTTTATGTTTTTTCATGTTCGTATAGCATCTTAATGAACGAACATAAACGGACACGAACAAACACATTTTCTTAATGAATGAATATAAACACAAAAAATTTCGTTCGTTTGCCTTTAAGTGATAAGGGGTGAGGGGAACTGCTCAGAAATGTCTTAGTTGGTTGATGAGTGACTGACCGGGTCAGTAAAAAAATAGTAAAAGACAGATGAGTTGAATAATACAGGGACTGATGAGCTAAGTGAGGTCCCCCTTTGAGATCTCCCAACCTAAAGGCTTTATTYAGAGGTGGGTCTTTCAACCGCTTACTCTTTCGATTTTGGTGAAGGTTAGTCAGATTGAGGGCGGAAAAAAAAGTTTTGAATTTCTTTTGTTTCATATGCTCTTGTGATGCGTGCCTAATACATAGAAATCTTGGTCGCAACACGAAGTTGTAGTTCATCCAAAGACTACAATTCCATACTTGACGGACAAAATTCAAGAAAGCTTGAAAGGTAATATGGTAGTTATGAAGTCAACAAAGATGCGCGGGGGGATATGGTGCCCATGGCCTTTCTATTTGATTGTATTGAAAGGCCCAATGAGTTGGAATTTCCCTATTGGTACAAGTCATTTCGGGGCAAGCGGATCATTTATAATGAAGAGGATAAGCTTCAAGAGAATGATTCGGAGTTCTTGCAGAGTGGAACCGTGCAGTACCAAACACGAGATAGATCTTCTAAATAACAAGGCATTTTTCGAATTAGCCAATTCATTTGGGACCCTACAGATCCACTCTTTCCTATTTTCGTGTTCATTCGTTTGTTCGGTTAGTTAAATGAACGAACACGAACAAGCCTCCATTCATGTTCGTGCGGTTCGTTTGTAGTCCTAATCATATTGATAGAGAAATCGAAAGATTACACTCCCTATAGAGTATAGAAGGCTTACAGTGGATTCTCTGGCTTTCAAGAGGTAGGTCTGTCTCAAAGGTTCCCACCTAATTGATTACAAAACATAATTCCCTTCCTCTAATCCCCTCTCCTATTTATACTATCCCTTATTTTGACTTATTCACCTAACTTATAGACCAGTTGATCCCAAGGTATGACATTCTGCTAGACAAACTCCATTTTTTTTATCGAACATCAATTTACTTCACACGCAACAAAGAAAAGGTTTGAAGTCTCAGAACATAACTTCTTAATCCCAACATAAAGGGCTTGAATGCAAGTATATAACTAACCTATAAATTCAAAAAAAAGCACAAGATTCTATCAATTGTTAAACTAGTTTGGGCTGTATCAAATATCATAAAGTAATTGGGGCCTTGGGGGCATTTGTGGCGTGTGTAACAAACAAAGACGCATCAAGATGTGCAACAGGGGTAGTGGAGCAGGTCATTGGCGGTGATGGAGGGTGTCTAAGAGTAGTGAAGTCGAGCAGCAACAACAAGGAGTGACGAGAAGGAAGAGAGAGCAGCAAGGTCAAGCCTCAACAAGGAGGAATAGCAAGGAGGGGACCAGCTTGAAAAGGGGAGCAGCGTCGACGAGGGAATTTAGCAGAGAGAGGGCGTTGAAATGTTGCAGAAAGAGGCTTTGAATTTTTTTCTTAAGGGTAGGGTTGTAAAAGGTTCATGGCTGAATGCATCAAGGCAGACCTAGATTGCTGGAAAATTGAGCCACTGGCTTAATTTTTAACCTGTTAACAAAAAGAGTCATGGCTGAGCCGTGAGCACAAACAAACAGCCCTTTAGCTGAATGTAGTATAATTATGTAAGCTAATGTGTGAAACATTGAGTACTGCTGTAGGACTCCAAAACTTGGACCTATATATGTTTGTTTGTGTGTGTGTGTGTGTCTGCATTTGCTATTCAACAACATTATGCTTTTGTCTCCTAATCATCATACTTTCGTGTTAGGAACTTGGGATAACTACTGTTTGCAGGTAAGGTGACTTACTTGAATGTAGCTAGCATTAACTATCTAAGTAAATGACTTGATTCATAGTTGTATTTGAACATGTTAGAATGGAATGACGAGCTTTCTTTGTGTTCTGTTCATATTCATACTTAGTGATTTTCAGTTTGTCATGTTTATTTATTTTTGTATGTTTATAACAAATTTTCTTTGACTCATTTGCAGAAGAACTTCGAGCAAAGAGGAAAAAGCAACTGAAGAAAGACACTGCATCTAAGCTGAAGTCACTAGTTAATGAGGTAACCAAAGCATAATTCAATTTCTCATGTCAATAAAAAAATTAATGTTAATCTGAGAAAGAAACAGCATTTAGCCAATTTGATGCATAATGTGCTTCATATTAGATTTCCAATTCTTTTGACTTGCAGGAGATTCATTTCTTGATGCTTTTTCTTGTTGTTGATAGACCTGTAGTTCAACTTCTTGTGTTTTTGTAGAAATTTTTAATAAGTTTGAAGTGAGGCAGAAACATGCATTCCTGTGTCTGGGCATCAGAGTAACATTAGCAAGTTAGTTAATTGCTGATACTAGTATTCACCACAACTTGTGGGCAGGGTTAAGAAACACAAAGATTTGCAGATGTGTATCATGATATTCTCTTTGAGAAAACAACAATATAGAAAAAGTAGTGAGTCTGTGTTTTATGGCTAGTTCTATCTAATATACGTAGTCAAGCTCATTACATTGAAAAAATACAACAAAGCAAATATAGTAGTTCCAAAAGCCAATGCTTTCTGGGGCGTTTGGTTTGATGGAATAAAATTTGACGGGTTTAGATATCGTGGAAGGATTTGGATTTGGAATCTTTGATGTGTTTGGTTTGTAGGATTTCGAATGGAATTGAATTCCATTGTTTATAAATAATTTATAAAAATTATAAAAATAATTAAATTACTTTTATATTAATTGATTATTACAAAAAATGTTTTTAACATATTTTAAAACATTGCTACATACAATTCCTACGAAATCCCGTGAAATATCAACCACCCCGGTGGGATTTCAAAATGCTACGTTTGTAGGATTTCAACGAAATCCCAATATTTCAAATCTAGGAAATCCTTCAAACCAAACATGAGATCGGAATGGAATTCAATTCCAAACCCCTGCAAATCCAATCCGGTTCTACAAACCAAACAGGAGTTTGGTTTGATGGAATGGTTTTGAGGGATTTGGATTTCGTAGAAGGGTTTGGAATTGGAAGAATTGGGATTTGGAAGGATTGGTGTGTTTGGTTTGTGGGATTTGGAATGGAAGTGAATTCCATTTTCTAGAAATAATGTATAAAAACAAATTATAAATAATTATAAAAATGTTGAAGTTGTTTTTTAATTAATTTATTATTACAAAACAAGTGTTTTTAACATATTTTAAAAAATTATTGCAAACAAACGAAATGCCGACTATCCCCATGGGATTCTTAAATCCCATGTTTGTGGGATTCAATGAAATCCATGGATTTCAAATCTATGCAATCCTTCAAACCAAACATGGGATTGGAATATGGAACTGAATTCCAAATCCTATCCAATCCTACAAACCAAACGGGACCTTAGTCTTTGATATGTAAGTATTTATGACTACCAAGAAACACTTCATTGCAAAAAAAAGAAAACCTTAGTCCCGTTTGTAACGCTTACGATTACTGTTTCTTGTTTTCATTTTTATAATGTAAAAAAAGTTGTAATTTTTGATTAAAAATAGAATCAAAAATGTTTTTCAATTTAAAATGTAAAATAGAAGTAGTGTTTTATTGCGCTGAAGCCTTAACTTCAGTAAAGTTAAATAGTATATGCATGTTCTTTTGTAATCCATTAAAACATCAAAATCATGTTTACAGAATTACCATAACGGTTACTAGTCATGAGAAGGCTGCTAATCCTGATTATGCTCTGTCTTTTGGCTTGGTCATCTTGTGTCTATGTCAGAACAAGATTTGAGCTTTCCCAGAACAGGGCACCACCAGATAGGTGATGTAACAAAGTTGTCCTCATTCATCAACCAATTTTGGGGCTTCAAACTTAGCTGGTAAAGTACCTTTATACATAGTTGTTAAAAGCATAGGGGCTGTTTGTTTACCTCTTATGGTGACATTAAGAGGTTATGTCTGAATCGCTAAGAGGCTAAAGGTTGTTTGGCAAAAAAAAACCAACCTCTTAAGGATGACAATAGCCACTTAACCATTTTTCATCCAGGGCTAAACTAAATCGTTCAGAACCTCATTTGTTCCACATATGCCCTTCTCGGGGTCTCCCTCCCTCCCTCCCTCCCTCCCTCCCAGCGGTCTTCTCCCACGAGGATAATCCAGCCTTCTCCTCCCCCCACGGTGGTCGTTCTCCATCAGTGATAGATCTGTCACCGACAGCCTCTCCATCTTTTTCTCTGGTTGTCTCCCGCGGTGTCTCTAATCTCTTTTCTTCCATTTTCCGATCTACAGTGACTTTACCAAAATACTTATTTTTTCTCGATTTCTTGTTGATTCCTCGATCTACTGTGGTTTTCGATCTACTGTGTTGATTTCCTTGCTGCTGTTCGATCTACTGTGTTGATTTCTTGTTGATTCTTCGATCTGTTCGATTCTTCTAGTTTCAGACCACCGATTTCTTAAACCAACTGCTGCATATGTTCTATTTTTACACCTCTAGTGTTAAACCATTGATTCTTCTACCTGTTCTATTTTTACACCTCTAGTTTCAAACCATCGATTTCCTTCTGTTGAATATATATATATCTCTCTCTCTCTCTCTATATATATATATAGAAGGAAATCGATGGTTTGAAACTAGAGGTGTAAAAATAGAACAGGTAGAAGAATCAATGGTTTAACACTGTTCTGATTTGGGATAAATCATATGCAATGCTGCAAAGGAATGCAGTAGTGGATGTTTGGGATAAATCATTGGAAAAGCATTGGTTTGAATAATATTAAGTATTTTAAAAATGCTCCGGTTCATATGAAATGCAGTAGAGGATGTGAAGTGTTCTAAAAAATGTTCTAGTTCATATGGAATGAAGCAAAGGATGTTCTTGGTAATTGTTCAATTCAGATATTCACTAAATACTCTATTGTTACAAAGGGTTAAAATGGTAATTTGTTGTCATTCCGGTTGGCCATTCAGAACAGTTACCAAACAACCATATTTCAGTCCGTACTACATCATACAGAGCCTCTTAAGCATTCTGACCACTTAAGCATTCTGACCACTTAACCATTCTGGTTCAAACCATTCAACAACTGCCAAACAGACCCTTAGGCGCTGCCTAGACTCTGAGGCTCAAGGTCTTGGGCTTTTTTAAACTCGAGGCTCCGTGTATTAATGAGGCTCACTAAGGCGCGGCGAGGCCCCCTTTGCGGCCTAAGTGGGCCTTGAGCCTTTAACAACTTTGCCTTTATTTGTGGTTGGTGAGATGCTTTGGTTGATTGTTATGTAAAAATTAGGTTACTTGAGATAATTATATCCAATTATCCCGTTGATAGTAATTGGGGATCTAGTTATTATTTTACTAAAATTAAATAATTCTATCTATGCACTAATTATTTATATTCTTCTCTTCGGTCACCTTTTCCTTGGAACCTTATTTTTTATTTTTTGTATTGGCAGAGATAGGGTTACTAGTTCAGAATATTTAGAACTTGCCAATTTTTAATTATATGCAGCAATGCATGCTATATAATTATATATTTTTCCGAAACAATGCTTGTTATATAATCTTGGACTGCACTTCGTATGGTATTTTCTTTTAGCTTTAATCTTGTGACAAAATTAGGCACTTTTTATATTTTATAGTATGTTGCTCGGATATAGATGTGAGGGTACTAGTTCCTGAGACGTGGATATTGAGATTCAAAGCTTTTATGAAGTTTAATCTGACCAACTAAAGCACTATTACATGAAATGCTGAGGGAGGAGACTGTGTGGAGAATGCGGTTAAAGATGTTTTGGAAAGAATACTTCTCAAAGTCAGAGAGAATTTGTGACCTGGCATATTCAAAGCCAGAAGAAAGGCTGGCAAGACAACTTATATTCGCCATCTTCTCTCTTTGATTTTGTTGAACTTTCACATCAGGGATAAAGGCAACAAAATATTAAGTTCCTCATATGTCTTCTTGAACTCCATAAAATAGCTTATAAATGGCTAATCTTGTTTCTCCATGCGATAAAAGATTTCGTAAACCTCATAGATGCAGGAGATTTCACAGTGATTCAACAATGACTGATTAACTAACTTACCTTGCTATCAATAGAGTTCAGAAGCTGAAGGAACAAATGAGCATCCTCTCTGAGCCATGCCAGATTGTCTTTCCACTTGGAACCAGTTTCAAGAGGATCATCAGTCAGATGTGCGTCTTTGTTAATACTGTGTAGACGAAGATGGACGTCTTACTTCAATCCAAGTAGTTTGAACCATTAGCTTATGGTCTATGATTTTAGACATCATTGGCACCAAACTCGTCACAATAGGATTTTTGTTTTCTCCTGTAACGACTGAACAAAATGAAATACATTTGATGACCAATTTTTTAAAGTCAACCAAACTCACCGGAGTACAATTTACAGAAGCACATGACAGCAAGCAACAAGGACAAGTGAGGAGCACACTAATATAACAAATATATGCCACATTCAGCAGCAATAACAAATAGCAGGAAGAAGATATCGCACAAGGGAGACCTGTGAATGTCGTGACAGCCTTAAAGATCCCTCACTTCCAATCAAGCGACTGTGGGTTTGCACTTGAAGATTGAAAGCCATGTCTAGGGTTCAAATCATGGTGGCTAGGGTTTGCGATAGGTCCAAAATGGCACTGAAGTTTGTTATCATGGTGGTTAGGGTTTGAAATTGGTCGAAAACGGCGTTATATTAAATATTATATACTTAACAAAAGGCAATTAGCGTTTCTGGAGAGTTTTCTCGATTCTGCAAGTTGTGGTTACCACTTACCAAATATTAGGACACCAATCCTTTGAAGTTTGGGGGTGCTTGACATATACACTTTAACTCTTGGAGTGAAATAATTTTGAAGTTGTTTATTTTGTGCCTTAATGTACTATGTGGAACTCATTACTCTATATAACAGACGGCAGCATTATTGTTGGCCCTTACTTTCTCAACACCGCATATTACAATCCTTATGGGGATTGGCATGCAGATTATGATATTCTTTTTGTTCTTTGAGCTACCTTGCAGGGAAAATATGAGCAAGAGTACGAAAAGTCAGAGGATTTTCAGCATAAGCTAAAATTGAAGGTCCGGGAACTACTAACCGACCAAGAGTGGCGGAGGAGGAAAATGCAGATGAGAGTATGTTTGAAGATGACATTTTGATTCCACGCAAATATAAGATGGAATTCTTTAGTTTAGTGCGGTGTTTATAACATTTCCCTTTGACTGTGTGTAGATTTCCGAGGAGGAAGGTAGATTGAAGAAGGATGAGGAAGAATCCAAAGAGATGTGGAAGCGAAAGCGTGAACATGAAGAACAGTGGGAAGGGACAAGGGAAAATAGGGTTCGTATTCATATTCCAATGTTCCTTCTCTGTGCTTTATTTTTTCCTATTATTTGCTACATAAAAGCATGTGTTAATCTGAGGTTCCAGATGCATGATTTAGATGTGAACATGTTTAATGACAAAAAGTTTATCAAAATCTAACATTTCTAACCAATATGGTTTTATAATACTTTAAGGACTATTACCATCCAGGATAATTTAGAATTGCATTTAAGAGTACATTTCCCTTACACTTATTTTAAGTGAAGCAGAGGCAGCAAATAGAATCTTCTTTGTGAAGTTTCAACCCTTAACAGCCTACATTTTTAGATATATTCGAATCTTAAGATGTCAGAGATATAAGTAGATTTTTGTTTAACATCAGATGGCAAATTGGCAATGAACCTTCCTCTGTTACCATATAATTTTCTGCACACATATGTATATCCTTAGTTTGATGAGGCAACGATTAGTCTCTCTTTCCCAACAAAAAAGATGTCCACTTTCCATTCCAAATTCAAGCATTCTTTTTTTTTTCAGCTATAAAATTTACCCTGGATGTTTTCAGCTCTTACTTTCAACATAACAAAACAAAACCAAATGAGCCCAGCATATCCCACCCAAAGAGTAAAGTGGCTGCTTAGTTTGAACATGTTATATACATCTTATAGTTTAATGTAACAATCATAATTTAACTAGAACGAATAAAAAACTTGAACGAATGAAACACACGTCGATTTTTGAAGTTAATAAAGCAGTCAAACCATGCCTTTTTCCTGGGACGTAAAGGAGTATTTTAGTTGTTGTACTTTTGATGCCTTGTGTTATCTTAGAGACAGGTGTCAGCTGAACAAGTCAAGTTGTATTGAAACTTCGACGTGCCTTTTCTTGCTAAGATGTGGCACATTGGAAGACTAGGTAGATAAAGATGGCTGTTTTGATAGGGTGATTTGACCAATATCATGTTGTTCTCATATTATATGTGCCTGCATGAAACCTGTGGATGTTAATGATTTCATATATTTATTTATTTCGTCATACCAATAACAGTCTTGGCTTTTCCTTCTCCCACTGTTGCAAAAGCTTCGGGGCAGTGGTCAGTCCTAGACCCTTCTTCGGGTTGGGTTTAGTTTAGCCAACCAGAAACAAAAAAGCAGCATGATTGATGAGTGTAGTTGAGCAATTACAAATGGTTGAATGGAATTGATGACTTGCTATTTGAACCAGGTTTCTAGCTGGAGGGACTTCATGAAAGGGGGAAAGAAGGTAACATTTTGTGTTTGTGTTTGTGTTTGTGTTTGTGTTTTGTTTTTGGCAAAAGAGTAGAAATGAGTGATGGATGGGTTAATGATTGTGTAGGTGAAGAAAGGTGAAATTCGACCGCCAAAGCTTAAGACGGAAGATCCCAATAAGTCATATGTTCAAAGGCCCGTGAAACGAGGGTAGGAGTTTCCACATTCTATCTACTCAACTCAAGTATGTAACTTAACATTAATTGATGCAGTAGTTGGGACCTTGTAACTTCAGCTTATAGGCCAGTATAAGAGCACATTGTATATTGCATTTTATGCCATTCTCACCCGCATTAAAGCTTTTATCCTGTTTCTGACCAGAATCCCAACAACACAAGTGGTGTGTATGGATCATGAAGGCCTAAAATTAACAATCAGTCTGGCAAACATACAAACCCAAAACCGTACTAGTCTAGTGGATGTTGATGTTGCCTTTTTCGAGGGATTTAACATATCTTTTAGTCCTACTACCATTCCAAGCAAGTGTTGTGTGAAGACTGCCAAAAAGTCAAGGCTTTGTATGCAATAAGGTCAAACATACAAGGCTTTGTAAGGAACGATCCAATTGAGCATTACATTTCAGTACAGACATAAGAGCATCTCTAACATATTAAAAAAAGAAAAAGAAAACGGTGATTTTGGTGTTTTTATTCTACTTTTTTGCTTCAACAAATTCGAGATTAGGAAAGATAATAAATAAATTCAATTTGAAGGACTTTTTAAAATCAAATGCTTAAGAAAGAGATGGTTTTTTCATCAATTAAATTAAATATATTATCATTTTTAAATAAAACTTATTTGGAGATATATTATGACGGATCTCCTCATTCAAAAACTGTTTTTGCCTTGCAACCTTAATAATTCCACCAAGTTAAAAGAGAGCATTTTTGGATGATATTGTGGACATTTATGTTCACTATTGGCACAACAATATTGGTGCCGAAAATACTAGAAACATGATTATAGGTGTTCAAAAAAGCATCCGTTCTTTCAAACTGGTCGAATCAAGTTAAAACAAACTATTTTTGGCAAAGAAACAATACAGTCAAGGATCAAAACGGAAACCCCCTCACTTGGATAATCCACCAAAGGGTCTTTGGTCTTTGGCTTTTTAGGAGGTCAGGATTCAAACCTCACCAAAGGTGAGGAAGATGTGTGAGTTTATTTGTTGCATTTGCCGTATATAAATATTATATACTTAAAAAAAAAAATAATCCAACTATCCAAATCGGTCTCACGAAAGACCAAGATCAATCGAATTAAAGTGGAGACAAACCTTAGAGCATAAAACTGAACCCAACACCTCAAGATCCAAGCTTCAAACACCATCATCATGATCGCCAAGCAAGGAGGGAGGGAGGGAGGGAGGGAGAGAGAGAGAGAGAGAGAGAGAGAGAGAGAGAGAGAGAGAGAACGCCCTTTTTTGGTCAGGTAGAACGGGTCTTGGTGGTCTTTTTTGGTTTTTTTTTGAAGTATATAATATTTATATACGACAAATGCAACAAATAACTCACACACCCTCCTCACCTTTGAGAGAAAACTCTAGGCAATATTATAAAACGAAAAGAAAGTACAGAAGGTTACGGGTGACAACCAACTTCGACAAAAACCACGCCAAGGGAAATAAGCCAAGGCAAAATCCAACAAACAAAAACCCACCCAAACGAAAGCAGAAACAACAAATGACCAAAACTCACAAGGCCGAACAAAAAACCAAATAAACAACCAAAGAAAGAACCCTGAATACACCAATTAAGCTCCACCATCCATAATGGCCGAAACTTTTTGCCAAGTCTTCCAAGCAAGTGTGAGTAGTACAACAATTGGTCTTTTTTTAAAGGGAATCCATGCAAATTTATAAACCAACGAGAAAACAATTATGATTCAGGCCAAAAGCCACAACCAGAGCCAAGCGGCAAAACAAAAAAAAACTGGTCTTAGTGGTCCTTAATAGGTCATATTGGGCTTTGTGGGTTTAATAGGCCTATTTCTCTTTAACTAGTCTAATTAGCTCATAATGACTAAGTGAGTCATAATTAGTTTGATTTGACCTAAATGCGTTAATTGGGTTAGAACATGTCTTAGTGATCCTTAATGATTGTTCCTTTGGTCTTAGTGTGCATGATAGGCCAATGACTCCTTAGTGAGTTTAAATGGATCGCATTAAATGGGGCATAATGAGATTGATTACACCTTAGGGCTCTAATTTAGGTAGAACGAGTCTTGGTGGTCCTAAATGGGTTCTTTTGGGCTTACTAGATGTAATGGACCTATTTTTTCTTAACAAGTCCAAGTGGGTCATATTTGATAATAAGTGGGTCATAATAAGTCAAAATAAACTTAATGGGTCAAATTGATAGTGGTCATTTTGGGCTTAGTGGATATAATAGTCCTATTTCTCCTAAACGAGTCTATTTGGGTCATAATGAAACTGAGTCATAATGAGTCTGATTTGACCTTAATGTGTCTAATTGAGGTAGAACGAATCTTTGGTCTTGGTGGTCCTTAATGGGTTCTTTGATCTTCATTTTTTTTGGAAGGGAAATCAGGAAAATTTATAAATCAGCGAAAAAACAAACAAGAGTCAGGCTAAAAGCCACAACCATAGCCAAAAGGCAAAACATAAAAACTTGGTCACCACACCTTACCAAGCAACAATAAGCCAGAAAGTACAAATCCCAACACAAAAAAACAACCACCTGCAGAACGGGATAGAAAGAAGCATTTTCCAAAGCAAAGACCCGCTTACAAACCACCAAAACCCACCAAACAATTGATCACGCCCCATTCGTAATACCGGTCCTCTCATTCTTATTCTCCTTCAAGCCGCACAAATAAAGATTTTTCTCTTTATCTCCTTGATAGGTTGCATAGCTGTTCGTTTTTTTATCAGTAAACAACATTCTATTCCGCTCCTGCCAAACATAATACACCGAGGCCGCAATGGCAAGTTTCTGAATTAACCTCTTAGGCAACCTCCTCGCATCCAAAAATGCTCCCATATATGATCCCAAGAGTCTCGTATACTCTTCCAATCCACATCCTTTAAAACTACTTCCCCATACCTCTTTTGAAAAAGTACATTAAAAAAATAAATGATTGTGGCTATGCATGCAATTTTCACAGAGAGCACATTCCAGATTCGGAGGTTCGTATTTCCAGGTCATACGATCTTGGGTAGGGAGACGTTGATGACACGCAAGCCATAAACAAAATGCATGCTTAGGTATGTGCCCCGGAAACCACACGGAACTATGCCATGGCACTAATAGGTAATTCCCGTCCAAAGTAGACCAAATTGTCATTACCGAGAACTCCACACTAGCATTTTGGCTATCAATCCAGTAAACCTTATCTCGTTTATGATCATGCAAAGACGGTAAAGGAGAGCTGGTTAGCACAACATACCTTTGAAGCCACTCATTAGACCACACCCCATTAAGACTTTGAGTTAGCTTCCGAGCCGAAGTATTGGTTGATAACCCACTTGAATAAACAAATCTGTAGGAAATGAATGAAGAGAAATGGCCACAAGGAAGCCAATTATCCTCCCATGCATTAATATCCCTTCCATCACCAATCCGAACCGCCGCACATGTGGTCGTAAATCCAACAGCTTGCATAGAACCCACGACCAGTTTGAGATTTTCCGAGCCATCCAGAAGTGCATAAATCTTAGGTTGTACAGATACACCCGTCTCACCCACAATGAATCACGATGCCTCATGATATCCCAAATATGTTTTGCAAGTAAAGCCTTATTCCACGTTGCCAATCTTTTGATACCAAGACCTCCACTCTTAAGGGGCCGACAAACCACCTCCCAAGCTAATCGACATCTTCCTCTAGAAGTTTCCCCTTGTGACCAAAGGAAATTGCGGAAGAGTGCCTCAATGTCATGAATTATCTCCGAAGGAAGCAAAAAAATAGACATCTAATAGAGTTGCAACGATTGAAGAATCGATATAATGAGTTGTCTCCTAGGGATGGTGATTTTCCCAGACCCGGTGGGGAATCCGATTCACCTGAGCCGGATGGGGACGGGGATTCCCCGCTAAAATGGGTACCGGGTCCGGGGGTCCCTGGTAGAGGCAAACCGGGGTTGGGGCCGGGGCCGGGTATTGTATCCCCCGACCCGCCCCATACCCGGTATATTGATAGTTGACTATTTAGGCAATTGGGCTTTGGTTATACACTTAGCCCGCTGGCGTGTTGCCTGTTGGACAGATGGATATTCATTGACCTTTTTGGTTATTCATTGATCGACAATTCGACATTCGACCAACACCAACTCATTCATCGTCATTGATGCCACCGCCCTTGCCGACTTGCTGTATGCGTCTCAATAGACCAACACCAACTCCGTCACACGATATTTAGTTCTTTATTCAATCGACCCTCGTCCTCGTCAATCGACCCTAGTTGTCTTCTTCATCAATCATGTGAGCAGTGAGCCAGTAAGCCACTCAGTGGTCAGCCTTCGTCTTCTTCAATCATCAATCGTCACTCAGCGCCAGTCGTCTGGTCTTCTTCGTCAATCTCAGACTTAGAGGTCAGCCGTCTTCTTCGTCAAATCATGTATTCAATAGTTTTTTTCTTTTAGATATAGGCTTATATAATTAGGTCATAAACTGTTTGTTTCCATTCATGTTGTTTATAAATCTTTCCAATTTTGGTTTTTGGTCTATGGATAATATTAAATTTTCCTTAATGTTGTTTTTGCTAGTCCTTTTGATTAGATTACTGCTAAAATAGGAAATTTCATAACTATTGTCTGTAGAGAATGTGAGCATGGTTAATTATGTAAACATGTCCAACTGAATTAAGTCCAACAAGCAAATATGTGATATAAAACATAAAAACTTCAAATAAGGAAAAAGGTGTAGTAATGCAAATATGCAATTGGTCAATTGGTAATGCAATACAGTAATGCAAATGGAGTTTAAACAATACAGTAATGCAAATGGAGTTTCAACAATATAGTAATGCAAGGAATTTAAACAATACAATTTAAACAAATGGAGTGTCAAAACAATACAGTAATGCAATCATTTTTTTTCCAGACTTGCTTCCACCACTTCTGGTCCAAAATGCTTTAGATCATTACATCTGTTTTTATGTAGCGATGGAGCTTTTAAGATGTCTTTGACGCTACTAGTGGAACTATAGGGTAAACTTGGATATGGAAACAAAGAGATTAACCCACATACACAACTTTATAAGACTTAATGGAAAACCAACCAAACATTCCCTTAACTTGAACATGATTTGCGCAAAATGAAATCAAATCTAACGTACTATTATCAGCGTTCTTCATTCTACA